GCTGTTGTCGCCCTGTTGATGACGTCAGCGACGCGGTTTAATCGGGCGCGGCTTAGCCGAGCGCGGTTTTGTCGTGCCCCGGTTCTAAGCGCTCTGAAAGCTCCAAAGACTTCACAAAGCATTTTAGGGTCAAAATACTTTGTTTTATAGGACATTTTATACCATATTTTGTAGAATTTGTCAGATTACTAATTGGGAGAGGGATTGGAACGTTACACTCATTCACTTGGCTAAAATAAGCAAGGAAAACTCTACAAATGATGTTCATTCACAGCCCATAATGAGTCCCAAGTAGTTGTAAGGAATCCTACAGTAGACTGCCAAAGTCTTTCGGGATAAGGCTGATAAGTACCCCCTTTTATCTTCCTTGAAACGCTGCCAAAGACTTCATTGGCAATTAGCTTGGCAAGGCCACATGGAGCAGACTCAGAACGGACCTTCAGAAGGTAAACTGACCAGCATGAATCAAGTTGCTTCCTTCAAAGGCTCATGTGCCTTTGCTTCTTCTTTATGTCCTTCGGGAGGGGCCAATTACCTCCAAGACTTACTCCTGAGTTGTCCCTTCTGTCTTAACTGTTCTTGCTTTCTGGCAGCTCTGCGCATGCGCGCACTGGGAACAGGGGGAGCCTGTTCCTTTGCCTCGCTGATGTCCAACTCTGGAGGCTCTGAATGCAGCACATAACTCCCAGACGGCCCTGTCCCCCTCTCTGTCTCCTACACAGAACCCTTGTCCGAGTCTTTCCCAGACTCCAGGACTGGCCCATGTTCCTCCCCAACCTTCTCACTGTCCGACTCTGCTGCCAGCGTTGCAGGCCGCCGGCGGACCACAATACCACCCTGTTTCTCCTCATCTCAGCCTGTTTGGCTTCCCTGCACTCCACCTGCCCGCGTTCCGCCACTATTGCTGTTTCTCCTGTTCCGTGGTCCGCTGCCCTTCCCATCCTGTGTCCCAACCTGCACTTCTGGCACCCTGCCCTCTGCTACACTGTGCTCCGCTTCCCCTGCTAGAAGCCCAACCTTGTGCGGCCAAGAGCTGCTTTGTGCAGGGCCGGGCCAGATGTGCCTCATTATCATGGGCAGAAAAAACATGAGGGTGGCAGGGCAGAGGAGTGCAGGGCAAGGGGTGGCAGGATGGTGGAATACAGGACAAGAGAGGTAGCTGAGTGCAGAGTGGTGGCGTGCAGGGCAGTTTTGATCATGTGACTGCATTAAGAGCCGAGGTGGCGCAGTGGTTAAATGCAGCACTGCAGGCTACTTCAGCTGACTGCAGTTCTGCAGTTCGGCTGTTCAAATCTCAC